AGAAGAAGGGCTAGAACCATCTCAAGGGGAGACCTTGTGGCCTTGGGGAGGTTATTGGGACTCCCCAGAACCCCAGAATCTCAGGGTCGGGAGGGGCCCCGGGCCCCACCAGCCTTTGGGCTGCAATGAGCAACTTTGGAAGGAGGAGAAGATGGGAAGTCGGCATCAGTCATCATTGGTTTCAGTTTCACATATTGAATTTATTTGAAGCAGAGCCTGCTTCTAAATTCCCATGAGGCTTTGCTTATGTTTCAGTTTTTCAGAACCTGAGGATTGGGAAACAGGATTGGAGAGGGACCCTGAAACCCCAGCTCAGAGATGAGGATGAGAAGTGGGAGCTGTGAGAACAGACTTCAAACCCAGGAGAGGCAGTCCTGTGGAGCATGGAGTGGGTTTCTGCGGGGGCCACCCCAACTGGCAAGATTATACGAATGGGGAAGAGCAAGGGAGGCAAGGCTACTCGGAGCCCCAGACGTCGCAGCGCTAGGAGCTGCCCTGGGGAGGAAGTGAGCGCCGATATGGAAGGAGAGCGGTGAGATGTGCATGACCACAAGGCCACTGGCTGGAGAGACGACTCCGCATCACCGAGTGGGCAGCATGGTCAGCCTTGAAGAACCAGCAGAGCTAAGCAGCCAGTCTGCCCAGGTTGGAACCCTGCCCTAACCAGTTACCAGCTACGTGGCCAAGTTACTACCTGAGGTAGTGTATACGAGAGTTACATACGATGATAATTCAAGAAGTGTTTGTCCTCTTCCCCCAAAGGGACTCAGAGACTCTGTAGTGCAGAACCCCACGGGGCTATCCTGCTCCAAAGGGCCCTGGACGTGGTGGGATGCCCGCCCCAGGCAGCAGGCGGCATTTGCCCAGGGCAGGGTGGAATGCCCTGCAGAGCGGGCCGGCTCTTTCTACACTAGCTGATGTCCTTCCCTCGGCTCCCAGGACTCTCTTGCCTTTTGGTTTCTTTGACCTTTCCCTCTGCCTATGGTCGCCAGGAGCTCCTGCCACCACCTTGGCCTCAAGCACATCCCGCAGCTCCTGTCTCCAGCCCTCCCCTCTCTCCCAGACCCTCCCCCCTTGATTGTCCTCCTCTCTGCTGCAGACCTGCTCCTCCTCTGACTTCCCCGATCCCCCAAGATGTCAGCCAAGTCACGACTCTACTCAGTTCCCTTCTTACCACAGCCATCATCTAGGTCCTGTCAGTCTGCCTTCCAAAGTCCCGAGTCCTCCAAGCTCCCTGCTCCCCCCGCACGGCTGCTTCCTCCAGCAGGCCCTCGCAGGTTCTCTGGCTTCTCATCCAGTCCCCCACCCAACCCACCCCCAACAGGCCACCAGGCAGTTGCGTAAACTTGACTTGTGTCATGCCTTAAAACGTCTGGCTTCCCGACCAGCTATGGGATCAAGAGTGAACTTCTGAGCACAATGAGGCCCTTTCCCCCTGCCTGCCCCTCTCCCTACTCCTTGGGCCTTTTCACGTTTAGTTCCCAGGGCCTGCCCTCCTCACATTCCTACCTCTGTGCAGCCGCGGGAGCTTTTGCTCCTCCACAATGCTTTCCTCCTCTTCTCCAGCCCACAAGCGCAGCCTGGGAGCCTCCGTCCTCAGGCCCCTTCTCCATCTAACACCCTCTGGTATTCCCCCAAGGCCTCCAATATCAAGTCCCGATGGGTCAGGGACCCCAACAGCCTCTGAAGCTCTCTTAATGGGATGTAGGGCTCTCTGCAGGGGTGTGAGCAGAGCTGAGGGAACCCATGTGGGACAGAGCAGCCCAGGGAAGAGCGGGGGCAGGGGCAGGGCTCTCAGCCTGAAGGAGTCGGGGAGGCAGCTGTTGCTGCAGGAGAGGGGTCACCTGCCTGGATCGGTGGCTGTGGATAGAGGGACACACTGTGGCCCAGCAAGGCTGCTGGCTGCAGGGCCTCTCCCTCCTCCTGAGATTATCTGAGATGACTCTCAGGTAGTCTGCCGTGTGTCCTCCTGTTGGCTCCATTGCATCAGAAGCCAGCAGGCAGGAGAGCGAGGTAGCCATGGGAGTCAGTCTCCCAGAGCAGAGAGGGCAGAGAACGGCCTGCGAAGAACAGCTGCCATGGACCCAGCTCCAGGCGTGGTTGCCTTGGCGCTTGGCTCCAGCCCACCTGCCCAGCAACACAGCTCTCACACCCTCCATGGCTCCAGCTAAACAGAACCCCAACCCCGAAGTGCCCAACTTGCTAAGTCTGTACTTTGAGATGCTGTCCCTTGGGCCTGGAAAGCCCTTCCCCACTTTCTGTCCTCGCCGAGGCCTGCTCAGCCTCGGCCCTGCCGCTCCCAGGCCCCTGACGCTGAGCTCTCCTCGTTGTCCTGGTCTCTTCGTTCGCCCTGAGGGCCAGGACTATGTTTCAAAAGTGCACGCTCCTGCCCAGCTCTGGGAGGTGTTCATTTGGAGGCGTGTTAAACGGAATTCCAGCAGAAGGGCTGTTTGCTTATGTTGCAATCTGCCCACGACCACCATCTCCTATGAGCGCAGGAACCGAGTCTAACTGCTCAGTGCCCCCCACACCTGATACAGAGGCTGCTTAAATAATGTTTGGTGATTGAATTAATGAATATGTCCGAGGCAAAGCAGAAAAAACGGGGTGTGTAAACCACGTGCTCTGAGAGTTCAGAGGGACCCTAGCTGGGGGAGCCAGGGAAGACTGCAGAGGGGCAACTTGGGAGCTGGCATTAAAGGATGGCGTCTTGAGAGGGGTTGGAAAGGGCACTTCTGAGCAAAGTGCCTGAGGCAGGAGAGCCCTGGGCCTCTCTGGGAAGCTTGCTGGGGATGGGAGGGTCAGGAGATGAGCCGGAGAGGGTGGGAGTGTGCTTGCTGCCCTTGACAGAGTCTTCCCCTCTCTCTTTCCCCAGGCTCTCTCCCTCTTCCTGCTTCCCCTCCTCCAGGGGCCTGCAGACGGACCCACCCCTCTGGTAGTCCCGGTATTCCTGGTCTCTCTGGCTCAGCAGCACCAAGTCCAGTACCCTCCCCACTTGCCCTACGTGTGGACCTCACCCGGGAGGCCTGCTCAGGCTCCAGAGGCCTCTCTTCTCTCCCCACCCCTCGCCTAGGGCCCTGCCTCGGAGCCTCTGGGAACTCCAGCTGTGAGTTCGAGTTTGGGCAGGCGCCTACTCATCCACCCCCCCAAGTGACATGCTGGGGCCGTCTGGGCCACAGGGAGCCAGACGTGAAAACCACCGGTCAGCAGAGCTGGGTGGCCGGCCACAGTGCGCCAGCCTGGGTGCTGGACCCGCCCCTCCCTCCACTCCCTTCCCTGAGGGATGTCCCCAGTGGACTGGCCAGTGGCCGTGGCTCTGAGGGGAACATGCTTTCTGTAGGCTGTGGCTGGAGAAGGCCGGACCGGCTGCCCTGCCAGCTCTGTGTGGGGAAGAGGGAGGTGCCCCTGCCAGCCGGCACCCCACAGGACGCCAGCCGCAGGCAGAGTGACCGAGTGACCGAGACTCTGGCCACTGCCCCTTACCCCGCTGGCCATTTTCCCTTTGGGGCCCTTGATGGGGAAGCCAGCGCTTCCAGTCCTGGGGGCAGTGACCCCAGGAGGGTGTTTATGGACTTGGGCTCGGGGCCCTGGAAAAGTCCACACTGACGAGGGCCACTGAGTGCTGAAGAGCAGAGCAGCTGCAGACTAGGGGGCGGAGAGGGAGCGCCGCCGGGGCCTGGCGCTTGGGGCCTCTCAGGGCCCATTGGGGCTGAAAGCTAAGGCTGGGCTCCCTGCCATTACGACCAAGCACCTACTGTGTGCCAGGCCCCCACTGGCCCTCAGCGGGCAGAAAGGCCCCACTCAACCCTCCTTCCCAGACCGGAGGGCAGGCACCGAGGAAGAGGGTACTCGGCCTCTCCAGCGTGCGGAGAGGCCTCCTCTAGAGCGGCCAGGTGTGGAGGAGTGGGCCCCGGGTGCGGCTTGACCAGGGAGGGGGAGCATGAAGGGCTCGCTCGCTCACCAGGGGTGAAAGGCCAAGGAAAACAGCTCGCTCTTACCCTCCACCACAGCCCCCTGCAACCAGGGCTCTGCTTCCCCTGCTGCTGCTTTTCTCCCAGAGCAATAAAGAGAAACAAGACAGGGATCCTGTGCCTTCAGACTCTTTGATTCCACCCATCCCTTCCGCACTGTTTGCCTTGTTTGTTTGTTCCTTAGTCCATTCGTTCGTTCATTCATTCATTCATTCGTTCACTCATTCACTCATTCACTCACTCACTCAATAAATGCATCTGAGTAGCTGACAAGTATCTGGCCTTTTGCCGGGCTCTGGACGTCTAAAGAAGTAGGAAGTGAGTTCTTAATCTTTTGGGGAGCAAATCTTCTTGATGAGTGATGAACAGTAGACACCTCTCCTCCCAGAACACTGCCTCTGTCACCACTCTGGGTGAAAGATTCCTGAATGCTACCAGCTTTGCGGGGGAGGCAGACCCGTAACCATTGTGATCCATGCTAAGTGGGTTTGATTTCTGGCTCACTCAGACACTTGCCTCTTTTAAAAAGGGAGAATTATCTCTCAGTGTCACTGCAGAGAATAAATGAGATAAACTCTAGACACGGCCTAGCAGAGCCTGGTGTTTGTTAGGTGTGCAGTGACATGAATTCTCTTCCCCTTCCCTACTTTGCATACTTGCGGGATACAAATTCCTATGACAGCCCTAAGCAGGAAGAACAAACACTCTAGCAACGGTTTGGAAGAGGGGTCATGTTTGAATGGGTTCTGAAGAATGAGTAGGAATTTGCAATAATGTCTCTCTCTCTCTCTCTCTTTTAAAGATATTTGTATTGATTTCAGTGAGGGAGATAGAGAGCTAGAAGCACCAATGATGAGAATCATTGATTGGCTGCCTCCTGCATGCCCCACACTGGGGATCGAGCCCGCAATCCAGGCATGTGTCCTGACTGAGAATCGAACCGTGATCTCCTGGTTCATAGGTTGATGCTCAACCACTGAGCCACACTGGCCGGGCAATAATGTATCTTTTTTTTTTTTTTTTTTAACAAACAAACACACCAGGCTTTTATTGTTCTCGTGTCAAAGGGAGGGTCTTTGCAGGACGGGGGAGTGAGTTTTGACAGCAGGGAGCAAGCCTCTACTTGCCAGCGATGAGTGGGTTCCGCAGGACCACAATGACCGAGTCCCCGCGCAGGAACATCTTGGAGATGTAGCGGTCCTTGTGGACTGGCTTGGACTTCTTCTTGCCCTGGCCACTCTTGGGGACCTTGGTCCACATCTCCTTCACATTCTCCAGCACCATGTTGCAGTGCCTGTCAAAAGCCTTCACCCAGCCCAGGAGCTTCTTGTTGTTGCGACAGTTGATGAGCACCTGGGTGTTGTTCTTGACGGACTGCGTGAGCACGGAGAGTGGGCCCATGTTCAACTCTTCCTCCTCCCGCTTCTGCAGCTCCTCCGGGGTCATCTCACTCTTGGGCTTGTTGAGAAGGCTCATGGTGGCGGTGGTTGCGCTCTCAGAAGGCTCCTGTCCTCCGCGTTGCCTCAGCCTCCAAAGAGAAAGCGCGAGAAAGGCGGGACTTCCGCTTCCCGCTGCTCCTGTATCTTTTTTTTTAATGTAAAAGCTCTGAATCCATTCATCAAAGGTCAGACATGCTGCTGAGAATCCTACTTACCCTAATGTTAATGCTGTCTGGTGCTCTCTATGTCCTGCACTGTTGAGGGGTTGTGCAGGACATAGACTAACTAACTCAAGGCTTCTCTCATAACCCTAGGACAGTGGTCGGCAAACTGCGGCTCGAGAGCCACACGCGGCTCTTTGGCCCCTTGAGTGTGGCTCTTCCACAAAATACCACGTGCGGGCGAAAATGTGGTATAATACTCCCGTACAGCGCTCTCCCCACAGCCCCATAGCCCACAGCTGCAAACTTCCTGGAAGTGACGAGCTTATGAGACGACAAGCCAGAAGCTCAGCACAGAAACCCGAGAAAATTTTGGACTCACCTGCCTGCCCCCATCCCTGTTCTCACCAGAACTGATCCAATCTCCCTGCGGGGGGTAGGGGGGACCTTTAGAAAACCACATGCACATTCCCCACAATGACCTTAACAGGTTGGCAGGACAACCCATTCCCATTTAGAAGATGGTAAACTGATCCACACAGCATGCCAGGGGCACCGCTTCCTGCTGCCCAGGCCCCTTAGCCCAGCCAACCTGGAGGGGCGGCCCCTCTTCTCCAGCTCCTGCAGCCCTGAGCCGGGCGCAGCCCCTGTCCTCTCCCAGGCAAGGAGGCAGGCACAGACTCACTGAGGAGGGGTGCCCATGTGCAGAAGTCGGTATTTTGTGGAAGAGCCACACTCAAGGGGCCAAAGAGCCGCATGTGGCTCGCGAGCCGCAGTTTGCCGACCACTGCCCTAGGAGATGGGTGCTGTTATCACTCCATTTTACAGAAGAGAAAACTGAGGCACGGGAAGGTAAAGCAATGTCACAAGCTGACAGGCAGCAGAGCTGGGATCCACGTGGCCGGCCCCAGAGTCCTCGTGCTAAGCCATTACCCTGTGTGGCTTTCCCAGCGTGAATCTGTTTTCTCACTGAGGTCTGAATTTCGAACTCCCACTCACCTTGACGATCGCTTTTGCTTGAAACAAAGGATCCAGGAGAGAAAATGGGAGATTGAGAGAAAATCTGCTTCTCCTAAAAATTCAAGTCCAAGTCTGAGTGTAAAAGCAAGGAAGAGAGGCGTCCCCAGAGGACGGACCAACTTTAAGGAGCGAGTGGTGGGCACGCCAGCCTGGAGGCGGGAGGGCTAGGTTTGGGTTCTGGTTCTGCCACCTGTAAACCGGCCTCTCCAGGCCTCCGTTTCCTCATCTGTAAGACAGGCCTGGCGGCTCCAGTGCCATAGCCTTGGAGCGAGGCCTGTAAAGCTAGCCCCTCCCTGTGTGCCTCCCAGGGCCTTACCAAGCGCCAGCCCTGTACGAGGCTCGTACTTGCTTCTTCCACAGACCGTGAGCTCCCCCAGGACTTGCTCTGCGTACTTCTACCAGCTCTTGGCACATACGAGGCCCTATAAATGCTTAATAGATGAAGAACCAAGTGGCGCCTCGCACATGGCAGGCCTTAACTCACACCAAGAGACCTCCCGTTCTTTCCCCAGTCCAGAGGCCTCATGCTCCCTGTTCAGGGAATACCAGGAGGGCAGCCAGGGTTACCGGACGCACACCTTTGCCAGGGTCCAGCAGAAGCTCCCCCTAAGCCACCCCCGCCTCGGCCCAGCACCGACTACCCTGGCCCTCAGAATGCCTGCCATGCCCAGAGCATGCTGAACCCAGACTGAGCCCCACAGCCCTCAGGGCACAGACAGGTGGCCCGAGAGGGACCAGGCCACCTCAACTTCGCATAAAGAAGCTGTCAAATTTCTATTAATACACTGGCCTCCTCCCCGGTCTCCCAGAGACCTCCCTGGGACAGCGGGTACCGGTGTGGCCAGTACCTCGTCGGGGAGCTGGCCCCATATCAGAACTATTTTGTAAGTTGCATCCTATATTCTAAGCCGTGAGGTCACTGGCTATTTAAAGAGCTCCGTGGTGAATCACTCTGTAAAGTGGAGAGTACCCTGAAGGAACCAAACAAATCTAGGTTTGCTTAGAGGTTCGCCCTGGCTCCCTGTTTACAGACCAGGAAACCAAGGCGGGGCCCGGGCTGCAACCGGCTGAGGTAGAATGTTGGTTGCACAGAGAGGAATCCATGCCGCCGCCGTGGCAGGCAAGAGCAGGGAATGAATGGCAGAAGGGGCCTTTGCTACCGTGGGGGGTGCCGGCTGGGTGAACCAGGGCAGCCCGTCCCAGCCGAGGGTCAGCCAGGAACCTGTTTATCCAACACAATTTGGGTGAGTGGACCTTCATTCATGTGGATCAGGCTGCACACGTTTGTTGAGCCTCCATTGTGTACCAGGGTCTGAGCCAGTGCCCAAAGCAGTGCCTGACAGTGGGGCCCAAGCAGCCGGCAGGAGCTTAGGGAGGGAAGTTGAGCATGATTCCACAGGCTTCTATGCTGCCAGGGAAGGGGAGCTGGGTGTGGGTGGGGGAGGAGGTCAGCCCTCAGCCAGAGGGGCCCCTACAAGGAGAATTGGACAGAGAGCCCGGAGGCAGGAACAGCAGAGCACATAAGAACTCCAGCTCAAGAATCACTTATTCTTTAATTTATTTTTTCCAACAACTATTTATTAAGCATCTACTATGTGCCAGGCACCATTCTAGGCTCTGGGGATATAGCAATGAACAAAACAGATAAAAACCCTTGTTGCCCTGGCTGATGTGGCTCAGTGGATTGGGTGTCATCCCATGTACCGAAGGGTTACTGGTTTGATTCCTGGTCAGGGCACATGCCCAGGTTGTAGGCTCAGTCCCTGGGGGGTGGGGGTGGGGTGGAGAAGGGAGGACATGCAGGAATCAGCCAATCAGTCTCACATCAATGTTTCTCTCCCTTTTTTGTTCCTCTCTCTCTAAAAATCAATATTAAAACAAAAATACAAAAAAAACACAAAACCCACAAAAAACCAAAACCCCTTGCCTCCATGGAGCTCATATTCTGGTAGGTAGAGATAGTAAAAAACTGGATCAGCATGCACATACTCATGTCAGTAGCCATAATTGCTCTGAAGAAACATAAACCAGGGCAAGGATGGTGGAGAGGAGGTAGGAGAGAGTAGGCTGTTTTATGCAGGGTAGGTAAGGCTTCTCTGACAAGGTGACCTTTGAGCAGAGACCTGAAGGAGTAAGTCACATGGATACGAGTATATGGAGAAGAGCATTTTAGGCAACAGGCGCAGTAAGTGCAAAGGCCCTGGGGCAGGTGTATGCTTGTTGTGGGGCAATGCCAGAGGCCAGTGTGGCTGGAGTAGAGTGAGGGGGCGTAGCAGAGGAGCAGATCATGTGGGGCCTCATCAGTCACAGTACAGCCGTGAATGCCATGAGCAGAGCAAGGAGGTGATCTCACACTCCAACAGGCTTACTCTGGCTGATGCGTAGAGAATTCACTACATGGGACAAGGGGAGAGTGGGAACAGGGACCAGCGGGAGGCCCTGCAGCCGTCCAGGTAAGAGAGTATGGTGGCTTGGATAAGGTATAGAAGTGGCCGTGTGAGGAGTGGACAGAAAGAAGGGGGTCAGATCCCAGCTCTGCCACTCTCTAGCTGTGTGCCTTTCTGAGCCTCTATTTTTCCATCTGGAAAACAAGGTTGATGATAATACTCCCGTACTTGCCTGGTGGGGTTTCTGTGGTGCCTACCTGAGACATAAGCACAGTGCCGGCACACCTTCGGTGCTCATTCAGAGACAACTCTTAGTCATTATGAGCCTTCAGGAACTGGGTGTACTCAAAGCACAATGAACTGAGCCCAGAAAAGCCGAGATCTGAGGAGTCAGCTGGCTCAGGGGGAGAGAGGTTTATACACAGTTAAATGCCCAGTATCTTCGGGCTCAGATGGGCTCTGTCCCCTTGGGCCTGTCTCTTGCCCTCACTCCTGGGCACCTTTGCCCAGGACTCCTGTTTATTTGTTTACCTTTTACCTGCGTTGAAGTTTCAGCTGAGAAACTGGCCCTGCTAGTCCAGCTGCTGGGTCCAGCACTGCTCCTCCCCCCGGCCCCACTCGGGCTTCCAGCTGCTCCTGCAAAGTCAACAGTGCCCAGGACAGCCGGAGCCTGACAGCCCACTGCGCTCCCCGGGAGGCATGTGGCCCTCGGGTGGACTGCTGGAGGTAATGATGGGGAACCGACCCAGGGCGGGCGCTGGTGGCTGCGGGGCCTGCGGAGCTGGCTCTCCCAGCTGTGGACAGGCCATGGCTCTGCTAGACAAGGGATGGCTCTGGGGGCAGCTGGGGACATTTGCCTTCCTGGGGGCCACTGGCCTAGAAGCCTGACCTGACAGGCCCAGAAGGGATTGGTCCAGCCAGCCCCGTGGCCCCCTCGCACTGACTCCCATTTATTTATTCAAAACACCGAAGCAGTTGTGTGCCAGTGGCTGTGCTTAAAAACATTCCTTCTAGAGGAGCAGTTCTTAACAAAGGCGAGGGCCAGAGAGAGGAGGTGGTTCTCCTAAGGTCACACCGTGAGTTGCTACAAAGCCCGCCCAGGACTCTTGACTCGCTGTCCAGTGCTCTGTCCGGCAAGTGCCCCGCTGCTCTGGCCATCTCTTGGGTGGCAGAGGCCAGGCTGTGCCAGGCCCCAAGCACCCCTCCTCAGTGAGTCTGTGCCTGCCTCCTTGCCTGGGAGAGGACAGCGGCTGCGCCCGGCTCAGGGCTGCAGGAGCTGGAGAAGAGGGGCCGCCCGTCCAGGTTGGCTGGGCTAAGGGGCCTGGGCAGCAGGAAGGGGTGCCCCTGGCATGCTGTGTGGATCAGTTTACCATCTTCTAAATGGGAATGGGTTGTCCTGCCAACCTGTTAAGGTCATTGTGGGGAATGTGCATGTGGTTTTCTACCCCCCGCAGGGAGATTGGATCAGTTCTGGTGAGAACAGGGATGGGGGCAGGGAGGTGAGTCCAAAATTTTCTCGGGTTTCTGTGCTGAGCTTCTG